GGCCTGTTCTCTCCTTCCTTCCTGAGACTGTTGGGTCACACTGTGGGAGGCAGCAGGGGATCTGAGGGAACTCGCAGCAAAGACTCTAGTCTTATGACTTCTCTCCTGTCTGTCTCCTGTCACTAGACAAATCCTGAACAATTCAGCACTCTGAGAGGACAATAAAATCAACAAATTTTCCATATGAAGGCTATTCATTTCCAGAAAAAAATAACATTAAGTATAAGTATTGCTTATTAAAAGGTGAAAAATTAAAACAGTAGGCCACTAAGAAAAGCCTATGGACATGAAAAAATAAGTCCAAAAATAAAGAATGGCCCACAGGGAACTCAAGAGAATGGTATAAGATGGGGGAGGCATCTTTCAAAGTGTCAATGAGAATTCGCCTTTACAGATGTCACAGAGCATCAAGAACTCCAAAAGGATGTTCAGGCATCATCAGGACCAAGGATGGTAATGCACATGTAAGGCCAATGCTCGGGAGATGGGCAGGCAGATGCAGGTAAGGCCATCCTGGACTGGTAAGAGACCTACATAAAATATATTTATTTATTTATGTAAATATGTGCATATTATATGTAATATATTTTACAATCCAGTTTAAACATGATAAGCACAACTGTAATTGCTTCTTGCTTTCAGGCTTGTCCAACCTTTTGACATAGGGAAATGATGTTACCATCTAAAGTTCATACTCAAGGATCACATGAATCAAGTTATAAAACCAACTGCAAAAAACAAACTCCTAACTCTTTAGGTGAACTTACGACTTTGTGTTGAGCTTGTGCATTAAAAACATTTGATAAAATGGTTGCAAATGCTCATAGCTTCTCCTAAAATTAATTAGCCAACAGTTTATAAAATAAGATCTTAAAAGTACTTCACCCATATTTTATCACACTTATTAAATGTCTTACCAAAGGCTGTAACTAGGTGCCTCTGCAACAATTCAAGAAAGGCTTCCCTTGGGAATCCTATATTCTAGTCTCCATGGTGCCTTCACAATCACTCATTCCAAAAACGATTCAGCTGATCACCTTGCCTGTGAGCTCAAATATGGAGGCCAAGAGCTACAAAGGCCAGCTCCCACATGTGCCGCCTCAAAGTTACATCTCTTTCTTCTGCTATGCATGTTCCCTGTCTGAGACATAGTCTTTCCACACTTATGCCATTCTCCTGATCCCTCCTCTTCTCCTTCATTTTCTTCACAGTCCTGTTATATGTGCCTACGTCTTTAGTCCTTAGCCTCCAAATAGATTCATATTGCCTTAAAAAAATGATTTCAGGCTAGCCTCTAAACATTGGAGTCTAAAGCCAAACTTCTTGGGAGAATGTTGTGCATCTGTGTTTCTGCTTCTCTTCTTAGCTCCTGGCCCTCTGCACAGCTGTGTCTTTTCTTACTATTCCATTCAAACATGTTCATCAAGGTTATTGTAGACTTTCTGTTGCTGCCCCTGTAACTCTTGACTCAACCATCTTTCCTTGAACATTCCTCTCCAGGGGCTTCTCAGAGATGTCTGCCTCTCCTGCTTCTCTTTCTTGGCTTATTGTCATAGTTCTTTTATTATTATTATTATTATTATTATTATTATTATTATTATTAAAAAGGAGGCAGCACAGACTCACTTCTTTCTAAGCTTTAATGGTGGGATCTGTCATTGCATAACACTACTGAAATCATGTACACACTCAACATATTGGTAGAGAACACTGATAGCTAGAATATCGGCAGAAAACCTATTTCATTAAGGAAAAATGATAGCTAAATAATGTGTTAGGTATTCTAATGAAATTGTAACACTTAATGTTTTGGGGAAAGGTTTATTTATTTTATCTTTATGAATATTTTGTCTCCATGTATGTAAGAGCACCCTGTGTGTGCAGGGCCTGGGGAGGCTAGAAGAGGGTATCTCCCGGAGCTGGAGTTAGAGATGAGTATGAACCATGTTGGGGCTAGGAATGTAACCCAGGTCCTCTCCAAGACAAGTGCTCTTATTTGCTGAATCATCTCTCCAACCGACACTGGAAACACTTTGTAAAGGGTCAAACAAAACTCACCATGGGATATATTTAATGAATAAAGAATTGCTGAAAAACACCAGAGATAAAGATAAATGTGCACCTGTGTGTGTTACTAATGCAATGAACAAGAACCAACATGTGGGATGGAATCAGAAAAACAACCTCTTTGTCTCTTCCATTGCCAACTTGAAAGCATCGGATGCATCTGGTCCTTCATTTGCTTTTCTGTGGAAACCTGAGTTTTCTTTTTACTCTTCATAATAAAAGTTCTCTTTAAGTCTCCCTTGACTTAAAAGGGGAGGAGATATTTAATGACTGTGGCTTTTTAAAATCATATAATAAATACACACCTGCTTTTTTGTGACCTTGATGTTGGTAAAGGCACTAAGAGTGTTCTGGTATTTGGTTGTATTGCCCCAGAAGCTTACAAATTCAGTCTCTTCAGGTAGCCGAAACCTTTCCATACCAGGCTTTAGGCCAAAATGTTGACTGTAACATTCCATTGTGAGCTGATGAAGAGACTCACCCAGCAGGGTACCCCAGGGTTGGCTTGAAAGCATTCTTATGAAACACTTGGGTAAATGATTCAGAGCAGATGCCTGAACTCTCCAAAGTAGTAGGGAACACGAAACATCTCAGTGAGTAAAATGCCAAGTCAATAGGATAGACTTCAGGAAGATTGCACCAGCTGGGTGAGTGGGCAGAACAGCGGCAGATGAATCTTCAAGGACAAGACAGCAGATGCCTTTAGGACAAACAATCCCAAGTCAGAAAAAAATGGTCTCTGAAGGGTTTTGGAAGGTCCATGCTTGCACAAGAAATAAGACTCTTTACAGTTCTGTGTGATTGGAAGTTTTCGCACACTTGAGCTAAGGTACTGTATCTCCATTGAGCTATTCTTCCTGTCAGTGAAGGAATTTTGAAACCCAACCTCATGATTGCATTATGCCTCAGAAATGTAGTCAATATTGTAGTCAATATTTCTGTGAATATTTGCAATTGCGATAAGGTGGTGTTTTTTTTGTGAGGAGAGGGTTTATTTCAGTGTACAGTTCCACATCACAGTCTGTACAAAGACAGTCGGGCAGAAACTCAAGGCAGGGCAGGAACCTGAAGAAAGGAGTTGAGGCAGAGGCCATGGAGGAGTGCTGCTTCCTAGCCTGTTCCTCATGGCCTGCTTATTTTCTCCACATAGAACTACTTAGAAAGCTTTTTTGAGTGTACTAATATTTTCTTTTTGTTCTATGAAAGTGTGTGCATATCTTTCCCTATGTATTTCTCTCTACCATGCACATGTACATTAGCAATGCAAATATGTCATGGTTTGAGATATATTTAAAAGTCATCAGTAGAGGATCTCTGTATGTTGTTTTCCCATTGAGAGGCTAGTGGGTTTGGATGGCCGATATGCATTCCTCCAACAGGCAGAAATGCCCTTCAGACATGAGTTGGGAAGCAGTCTGCTTCTTCAGGAGCTGAACCACAGCCAGCCTTGTATAAACTCATTTCATAAACATTTCTCCCTTCAAAAACACTGAGAATATGGATGGTTTCAAAAATTTCCAGGAAGATACAGAAAGCCTGCTTGTGACTAAATCAGGAGGAAGAACCCCCTCCATTCTCAACAACGGTTTGACTTCATTTGCATTGGACCACACACATTAGCCAGAACTTTGGAGTTTCTGTGTAAGATCATGTGTCTTTCTCTTTTCCCCCTTTTATTAAAATGGCACATTTATGTGATGGATATGTGCTGTGTTGCTCATGATACCATTTTAGGGTGCAGGGAATGTTTTGTTACAAAGATTTTATGACATCTCTGTGGCTATAAATATTTGCATAGCCTTTTAAATGTCACGATTGATTGACCATATAGTAGCATCTCAGGCTCCACCTAACTTCTCTACCTCCTTGACTGTTCCTCACTATTTCTACTGCATCTACTTAATGTTGCTCTTTGGAGATGCTGTGTGTAGCCTAGTCATCCCCCACAAAGCCTAACTACAAACTAGTGTGAAGGGCTGATGATGCCACTCAGCTAATACAATGCCTGGCTAGCATGTGTGAATCTCTGGACTACATCCCCAACACCACATAAACAGGGTGTATGCCTTTAATCCTAGGACTCTAGGTAGAGGCAGGAGACAGGAGGATCAGGAGTTCTAGGTCATCCTCAGCTACATAGCAGTTCCAAGCTAGTCTGGGATACATTAAACTCTACCTCAAAACACAAGCAAACAAAAAAGGCAGTGTGAGCAGTTTTCAAAGTGAGTAGGACTTGCAGATGGTTCAGGAGCAAGGAATCTATTAACCTCTTGTCCAATGTCAGTAGCATTAGAACAACTACCCAGGCTTTTCTGCTGAATGATTAGAAAATATAAGTGTTAATATGTTTATTTACAAAGTATTTTTACTTCTTATCATCTCACTCCATTTCTGATATTAATATACAACACTGCATCTTCTCTTCAAACAAAATGTTGCTTCTCTCTAATATTTACTGAACAGGTCTTAATATTTATCAATGCCTCATTTTCTTCATTATATTCTCATATATAAACATGGAAGACATTAAAGTGGATGTTTTTATGATTTTTTATAATTTATTTATTTTATGTGCATTGGTGTTTTGCCTGCATATATGTGTGAAGGTGTCAGATCACCTAGAACTGGAGCTACAGACTGTTATGAGCTGCCATGTGGGTGCTGGGAATTGAACCTGGGTCCTCTGGAAGAGCAGCCAGTGCTCTTAACCATCTCCCCAGCCTCTGATATCTTTAATTAGACGACATTTCAAAAATATATACACACACACACAAACTAATGGGCCCAGTAATTCTCTAATCGGTATTTAAATTCTGTTTGGAACTCAGTTTCCAAATTAAAAAAAGAAAGTAAATATGAGCCTGTTAAGACACTTTCCATCAGGAGGAGTGGACCTGAGGTAGAGGGGAGGTGTAAGGGGAGGGACTGGGAGGAGAAGAAGGAGGGGAAACTGTGGTTGAAATGTAATATCTGAGAGAAGAATTTTAAAAAACGACACTCCACCCTCTGCAAAGATTCTCCTCAACAACAGTTCTTTCTGATAGGCTCCTGTAATTTTCCACCAACAGTTGGTACCCAAGCTTCTTTTAAGCAGACACAACTTTCATATGCTCTAAATGTGGGTAAACCAGTCGCAAAAGCCTTGTACTCTCACGTGTTTGGCTCCAGACATGGGAAGGTAAATTAAAAAGAAATCAGCACTGAAGGAGAGAATGAGGAAGTCATAGAGTGCACACACCCAGTCTGGGCCAAGGGTGTGCACTGAAGATAAGCCAGTCCTACCTGCCTGTCCTGATGTACCCAGACCTGGATCCATGGGTAAGAAACCCCCACCTGGGTGGGAGGTGATGGCACACACTTTTAATCCTAGCACACAGGAGGAAAAGGAAGGCAGATCCCCTCAATCCAAGGCCAGCCTGGTCTACAAAGTGAGTTCCAGGATGGCCAGTACTACACAGAGAAACCCTGTCTCAAAAAAAAAACAAAAAAACAACAACAAAAAAAACCAAGAAACCCTCACCCCCAAGAGATATGGAAGACAACGTGCCCTTCTAAGCCTGCAAGACAGGTAGTATTATTATCTCCATATTTTACAGATGAGAAAATGGAATTTGAGGTCTTTTTTAGTACCAGTTAGGAAATTGGATAGCTGCCTGAGTGAGTCATGGTCCAGCTGCTCAACCCTGCAGCTACAATAGTCCAAGACTATTATTCAGTGTTTTTTGGAACTCTTTGCTTTAACTGTGCCCAACATACACCCTGATTATTTGATAATTTATACATTACAATAATTCTGCATTGTACCAATTAGCATGTAAATATATATGTATTGAATATTTCTTTTCTGTGTTTGAATAGTCTCTTTTCATATCAGTGTTGAATTTCACTTTGGTCTTTGCTGCCAAACGGAGAAAGCATTGGCACGGATATTGGAAGTGGGCAGTTCTCCCACCCAGCAGGACAGTCTTCCTGATACAAAGTCGCCACAGAGAAATTTGCTGTCACCTCATCCCTTAAAACGAAAGCCAGGATGGAGGGACTCTCCACCAGGGGGCAATGTATCACATGATCAGAAAAAGTAATAAATTGATAGCAAGCAGCCATGTTTTGAATTTTCAGCTTGTTGATTATTTTTCTTTTCTGAGACAGGGTCTCTCTACATAACGGAGGCTGTCCTGAGACTCTAAATATAGATGAGGCTGGTCTTGAACTCATGGAAATCCACTTGCCTTTGCATCCTGAGTGCTGGGATTAAAGGTGGCTGGTTGGTTTTACATTTGAACTAACTTGAAATATCAGAAAATCTAGCAATTACTGGCTCTGCATTTCTTCGTGGTAAGAACTGGTGTGGTTCAAGCCCATTCTCAGCCTCATTTTGACTAGCCAGGAATTCTTTGGCACCCCATCATTTGTGTAATATATGCTCGTGTCTTTATGCTCACCTCCTGCAGTTTACCTGCCTGATCTTTGCGGTGTTTCAGTTTATGAATACCTTGTGTAAACAAGGCTATGACATGAAATATAATTGCAAGGAAGGTTATGTATATTAAACTTATAGGCTTTTTCAAATTAAGAAATGTTCACTTTGTTCAAATTATCATTTTACCATCAAAGAATACAATAATTTTAGACATTAACACACAGATCAAACTAGATTGATGCTTTCACTAATGCTTAAAGTACTTTGAATTAACCTATTCTTTGTCTTGTCCTCCTGCTGAAACAGGAATTTTCATATTCATCTTGAATCCTCTCCTCGAGGGATCTAGACACTTCCCCTCCTCTATCCTATGTCTATTGTTGCCTCAAACCAACTTGGCATCTAGCCACAGCTGCAGGTAAAAGCAAGAATTATCCAGCTCTAGGAGCTTATTTAGACGTTGTTTCTCAGCTCAGCTGCTCCCTTCTCTCTGGTGTGTGAGGGCTAAGAGGGCTCAGTCTCACATATCTGCCACACTCTTCTGTGAATTTACTTAGAATCCATCCAAAGGAAGCAGAGACAGCATTGCTCTCCAAGGCCTTGGCATTGCAGCTCTCTCTCTTGCCAGACTCCTAGACTGTCCTCACTACTCAGGGTCAAACACATTTCTGACTTCACAGAGCAGTCACTGTTGCTCTGTAGAGGTGGTTTAGGATAAAAGGTAGCTTGTTTTGAGTTATTATTCTGTTTGTTATCAAAAGACTTGCTATAGTATGATGAGAATGTTTCCTTGTGGAGGATAATTGTTTATAATTTGATGCTTTTCTGCAAATAATTATGTAACTGCAAATAAAACAACACTGAGTGCAGAACGGTCTGGAAAACACTTCAGAGGAAAACCAACCTGAGACAGCCACTCACTCCTCCATCTCAGGGCTACAGGAATCCAGATAGCATGTAAATGTGTTCCTCATTCTCATACTCAGAGTGAAAAAAATTGGGGGCAGAGTTGGTCAGTTGCTGAAATTCTGCAAAATGCTTGCTGAGAAAGCATGGGAAGCAGAGACGTATCCCCAGCCCCTACATAAAAACCCAGGCATGACATTGTACACCTGTAATCCCAGCACCTCAGATACTGAGGCAGGAGATTGCCACAAATTGTAAGCCAGGCTGGGCTACACAGAAAATTTCAGACCATCTTGATTTTTAGTGTGTGAGCACCTCACTCCAGAACCAACAGAAACAAAAATCTTCCTACTAGCTCTACCATACCCACACTCCTATAGTGTTAGGAAATAAGAGAATGTTTTAATGTTGTAAAAGTAAGATAGGAAGTCTTTCAGATTCACAATTTTTTTAGTTAAAATACGCACTAAAAATTCTTGCTTCACATTTACTTTGTAATCATATATTTCAGGATTTCAAAATAAAGCCATATAAAGCACATTTTGTTGCATTGCTGGGAAGAATCAATTATCCCTTCTCCTCCTCATTTTAAACCCAGAAGGAGCTTGAAGCATGCCATCTCATAATAGGGTAAAATATGATGGTGTGTCATAAACATGCCCCACTGGCAAAAGCTGGTATCCAAATGTTTTTGGTAAGGTATTTTATCTTGATTTTTCAGAATCCAGGAACCCTGCCAGCTTCTGGGAGTGTGAGCAAATTTAAATGAAGAAAATTTCAGTCTTTGGAATCCAAATCACTTTATAAATTCAAAATATACATTAAAATATAAAATACCAAAAAGCTATTAAAATAAGGTGTTGGGTGTGGTAACAGGCCACCCTGGGCTACAAAGACGGCCCCATTCTGGGGGATGGAGTCATGGAGGAGAAAAAACGAGACAGGCCAACCAAGAGGATGCAGGATCTGGCTGTTTCTCCCAGGGTCCTCTTTCTCTTCCTTTGCTTAGTCAAGGATGGGGAAGCCTACCTTTTGGAGAAACAGCTTAGCATGCCTTTGAGAAGCCTGCCTCACTTAGGACTACTTCCCAGCAGATCTCTCCCAAACAGTGAGAAAGGAAAACAAAAACAACAACAAAACAAACAAACAAAAACAGAAAGTCCATTATGGGTATTTTAGATCTCATTCATTTTCCTTGTAGAACTAAAATTGATGCTGGACTGCTGGCTGATTGAGTCTTGATACTGGCCTTTACATTCATGATGTTAAAGGCTTTCTTCTTTTTCTCTTTTTCTTTCTTTCCTTCTTTTTTTCATTTTTTTCTTTTAAGATTTATTCATTTATTATGTATAGAGTATTCTGCCTACATGTATGCCACCAGACCTCATTACAGATGGTTGTGAGTCACCATGTGGTTGCTGGGAACTAAACTCAGGACCTCTGGAAGAACAGTCAATGCTCTTAACCTCTGAGCCATCTCTCCAGCCTCCACATCATGTTTTTCTTTAATTACTACTCATATTTACATATCCATCTTCCCATCCCTTCACCATCCTGTCCTCCCATGTTCCCCACTAATCCCCTCAACCCATCCCCAAACTCCTCCCCAGGGATAGTGAGGCCCCCCCACAGGGGACCTTCAAAGTCTTTCATATCATTTGGGGGAGGGGCTAGGCCCTCCTTGCTGTATCTTGGCTGCAATAGTATCCCTTCATAAGGAATTGACTCCCAAAGTCCATTTGTGCTCTAGGGATAAAGACTGGCTCCACTGTTAGAGGTTCCATAGACTGCCTTTGGCCTCCTAGCTGGCACCCACAATCAGAGGGCTTGGTTTGGTCAATGCTGTTTCCCCAGCTTTACGACTAGGGTCTCCATGCTCTCAGTAGGTCAGGTCAATTGTTCCTGCAGGTTTCTGCAGCACCTTCTTGGCTCCTTTGTTCATCTCTCCTCCCTCTCCACAACTGGATTCCAGGGGTATGCATGGTTCAGTGCTTAGCTGTGGGTGCCTGTTTCTGTTTCGAACAGCTACTGGATGAAGGCTCTCAGGCAGCAGGTGGAGGGCAGAGCTCTTTCATTCATTCATTCATTCATTCATTCATTCATTCTCTTTCTTCCTTCCTCCTTCTCCCTTCATCCCTCTCCCTCCCTTCCCTCCTCCCCCACCCCCACTTGAAACACGGTTTTGTTATGTAGTCCAGAACTCATGGTACTCCTCCTAACTCAGTGTTGCTGGTGCAGGACTAAAGGCATGCATGCGCACACCTGGCTTCATTCATATTATTTCTCCAACTCCTCCCTTCTGCCTCACAGCCATCCCTTCTGTGAATCCTTTTGCCATGTATAGAATGCATCCAAGCGGATCCACCTTCCTCCTCTTTTACCTCTGACACTTTAGTGCATCCCACTAACACTTCTCAGTCGGGGCTTCAGCCATAGCCTGCTCCTGCCTCCACTTCCTCCCATCTGTAACAGGATCTCCATCCGATTGTGAACCTCTAGGGGTTTTCCCCAGTGCTTCTTCCAGAGGCCCCTTTCTTTCCCTTGCTCACCACGCTGTTACTTCATTTCTGCCTCTGAAGTACAGCAACTGAAGTGGCTTCCCCTCCCCGACTCCCGGCTTGAGTACTTCCTTGTGTGGCGTGCCCTTCTTGCCATCCTAGGCTCGTTTGATGTGCTGCTCACTCAGAGATTCTTGCTGCTCAAGCCAAAGAAGCTCTCTTGTGACATGGGTACCAGTATTCACTCACTCTTCACTCCCTTCACGAGATTCCTTGCTTTGTCTGTGTGCTCATCAAGGCTCCTGCCTCATGTGGTTCAAGCTCTGAGTTGAAAGGCACCCTTTGTCTACTTCACAGCTGTTTCTACAGCACCTACAATATGCTGGCACACAGTAGGGATGGGAAAATCCTACTGTCCCTAATCAGTAATGAACCAAAACTAAGTATGCCTCTATTCTCCAGATTGACCGTCTGTCAGTTTGACCACAACTGGAGGGTATGTTGATGGTGATCCACACTGAAGGGTATGGCAATTGTGACTGGTCACCTTGTCTACTGTCCAAAGGGTAGGAAGAGGAGCATTTTTCAGACTGGACCTGGTATATTGAGCCCTACTTTACAGACTCAGGCTTCACAGAAAGTTTCTAGTCAACCATCTTCTCATAATTTGTTATTTTTAAGTCTCTGAAGGATTGAAATAAAACTACAGACTTCACTCAGGTGCTCCATTGAGACTCTATGTCAACATTTTACCACATTTTCTGCCTCCCTCCTCTCACTGTCTATACAAACACACAGCACACAGCACATAGTCCTCTAGACCAGTTACTATAGTGATTGATGACTTTTTTTATTTGAATTAGAAACAGGATTGTTTTACATATCAATCCCAGTTCCCACTCCCTCCCCACTTCCCCTACCACCCACCCCCAACTAAAACCCTACCTATCACATATCCTTTCTGCTCCCCAGGGAGGGTGAGGTCTTCCATAGGGAGTCATCAGAGTCTATCGTATCCTTTGGGATAAGATGGGGCCTAGGCCCACCCCCATGTGTCTTGGCTCAGGGAATATCCCTGTATGTGGATTGGGCTCCCAAAGTCCACACCTATGCTAGGGATAAGTACTGATCTACTACAGGAGGTCCCGTAGATTTCCGAGATCTCCTCACTGAAACCTATGTTCCTAGGGTCTGGATCAGTCCCATGCTGGTATCCCAGCTATCAGTCTGGGGACCAAGAGCTCCCCGGTTGTTCAGGTCAGCTGTTTCTGTGGGTTTCACCAGCCTGGTCGGGACCCCTTTGCCCATCACTCGTTCTTCTCTGCAACTGGATTCCAGTTCAGTTCAGTGATTAGTTGTGGGTGTCTGCTTCTACTTCCACCAGCTGCTGGATGAAGGCTATAGGATTGGTGACTTTCTAATAGTGAATTTCTCTCTATCATTTCTTCCCTGCTTGTCAACTGGCTTTATTTGCAACCAAGACTTTTGGTTGCATGATGAACATTTGAATTTGCTCCATGAGTACACAATGCCTAATTAGAAGAAGCATGCAGAGCCCAGTGGGGTTTACCTTCATAAAAAATAATAAATTCTGAGATAACTATAGATCTCCTTTCAATATGAAGGTGTCTCTGTATAGTTGCTATTGTTGTTAGCATAATTCTATCCAGTCCATAGAGGTTTTGAGCTATGTTGTTACTAAGGATACAAATACTAAAAGCAAGAACTCTATGATGCATGTTTGAGAAGGGAGAAGCATTTGAAGCCTCAAAAAGTTTATTTCAAACTTATGTACATTTTCAGATGCTCCCAGGAAGAAGATTCAGAATCAGCCTCCAAGTGAGGTGTGGATGTTCTCCAGCAACTGACGAGGACCCAGTATTACCAAGAGTCCATGTATAGTTTTGTTAGTTACAGAATATTAACTAGGATGTTTCCTCCGAGGGTTTTAACTGCATGGTTTTTGCACAGGTTGGGACTTGAACTGATTTTCTGAGGAAGCTGTTCATCAAAGGCGTCTCCATGAGCTAACCTTGAGTTTGATTATTCTCTGCAATAATCAATAAGAGAACAGGACAGAAAAGTTTTTTTTGTTGTTGCTGTTGTTGTTGTTGTTACAATTTCAGCTTACTATACTAACTCACAGCCTGTTGTACCACCAGGGTGACCCTTCTGGAGATTTCAGTACTTAGGTGACCACTGATCAAACTTTATACACTTGGATTGCTTAACAGTGTAGCAACATGTCCATTCAAAATGTTTTTATTCATCCATCCAACTTGATTGACATTCAAACCAGCTAGTGACCCGGAGCTGGGAACACTGGCATGGGATGCCAGCCTTCCCACCATCCAGCTCCCATTGGTTTCCTCAAATTCCAGTCCTTCCCCAAAGGAACAGATGGAGCGAGGGTGAGAATGTAGGAAGTGATTTTTAAAAAGGTGGGGGAGGGGTGAGCTGAAAAGGGATGCTAGCTAAGAGAGAACAAAGAGTCCCCAAAAACATAATGATTAACAAACGTACCATTGGGACCTAGAATGAGAAGACAGGCCAGGAGTAGGGCAGGGCTGCCAGGGCCAGTTACTCAGAGCACTATACAGCAAACAGACACCAGATGAGCAGCCAGGAGTGCAAACACCAGATCCAAGTTTACTTGTCTTCCTCATGCCCTGGTGGAGAGACTTTGTCTATCCCTACAATCAGGCTTCCTTTACCAATTCGAAGAAGCATACAGCACAGTGGGTCTGAGTTTGATCCCTGGTACCCACATGATAGGAGAGAACCAAGTCCTGCAAATTGTCCTCTGACCCCCCCTCTCTCTCTCTCTCACACACACACACATTCACATACTCACACACACACTCACACACATACATACTCACACACACACTCTCTCACACACACACACTCTCTCACACACACACACAC